ACCAGATCAGGACACACGCCAGAAAGGACAGTTTCACACCAGCAATGTCTGTTCTTAAATGGGAACTGCACTGGGCCTGGAAGTTGGATACACACTTTTATTTTCTGGGTCACATTTAGCATGATTGTGCCTTGGAGCATATCATGAGCCTCTACCACCTAGGAAATGTGATAATTTGGAACAAAGGTTAGTAAAACAAAAAGATAGGACAAGTGACAAAGCTGATTCTTCTTTGTTACTTCTATTTCTTTCTTTTTTTTTTTAGTTGTTGATGGACGTGGTGCTGAGAATTAAACCCAGTGCCTCACACATACCAGGGAAGTGCTCTACCACTGAGCCACAACCCCAACCCTGTTGCTTCTATTTCAAGGTGATAATAACAGTAACACTTAAAACAACTGGAAATAAATTCTCTGCATTATCTGTATCAATACTTTTTCATACAGTATAATAAATATTGGCATCAGTGTTTGTCTTCGCCATTCATTTATGGAGTTCCTGGGACAAATCCCTTATCCCTGTAGCCTCCAGAATCTTAATATGCCACAGAACTTAATACATAGTAGAAGCTCAATAAATATTTACTAAATCTATTCATTTATTAATTCAATAAATATTTACATATTAAGCACTGTCTACATGTTGGGCATAGTTCTAGGCACTGGGGATACATTAGAGAACATACCAAATAATTCTAAGATTTTTGGAAAACTCTTTGAATTCAGCTTATACCCAAAGCACACACAAAATCACTTCTGTTTTTTCTACAATATTCAAGAACTTTTCTTGAAGTCAGCTTTTGTTTATCTTTTTTCCTAAGATTAAAAAATACTTATTTGAAAAGTATTCAAGATCCATTTATCTATGAAATTACCTTCAGAGGCTTTTAAAATTGTCATATTAATTTTGAGATTGAAATTAAGCATGGCATGGTACAGAGCATATTCATTCAGACAACCATTACTAAGACCTATTATTTGGAAGCTCATCTCAGACACTGCAGAACAGTTAGTGATGAATCAGAAAGTCCCTGTCCTGGAGGATCCTGGGATATAATAAGAATGATAGGACAAATGCAAAGATACTATAAGACAATATTGGGATTCCCGCGTTTGCCTTACTTTTTCCCTTCTCCTTTTCCTGCTTAAAATGTTAGTTACCTTCACCAAGTATGCCCTTACTTCCAGCTCTATCTAGCAAATAAACTGGCGCCTGTCACTTGCTATCTATGTCACAGCTATCTGTGTCTGTCTTAGGTCCTCTGCTAGATGGTGAACTCTGGGATGGGGACTGAGCTTTTACTCAGCCCTGCACCAGCAGTGTGATGGGTACTAAAGACAGGAACCAAATGTTGTGGAAACCCAGAGGAGTGGAAGTTGAAAGTTCAAATAACTTTCCATCAGCCTATAAAAAATGTGTGCACTTGTGAATGAGACAAAGGCCCAGAGCATTTGGTGGGAAAAGAAAATTACTTCTTTTAAAAAGATGCTGCAAGTTTGTTTTCAATGGGATTTGGCAGTTGACTAAATCACAGATAATGAAAGACCTCAAATGTTATGGTGAAGATTTTTAGAAACAAATAAATGCACTGTGAAAATAAAGCTAACATCTTTATATATCATAATAAAATTCCTTACATACTTAGCACCTTTGTTTCCAAAGAGTTTTTGTAGACATCTCTTCTCACATGATTGTTGGGACAACCTGGGGGGTACACAAGGGGTGGTGAGGCCAGGCTAATGTTGAGTCATGAGGTGACCCAAGATCCAACAGCCATGCTCGTTTCATGGGGCTCCCAAAGAAGTGCCATGTTCTATGAGAGAGAGGGAGAAACTGGTTGCTCTTTCTTTCCTTGGACAGAAACAAATACAGTTTTTTAATTGAAAAATTAGTAATAACTAGGGAGTTAGAGTAACATTCATATGCTAAATAAAAAGCAAAGAAGCTTAATAGGAGAAAACCCCGAAGAAAGATGTGTTCTAGGGGATGTGCCTGGAGAATGAGCGGTTTCCCTTTTGCTTCTACACAGATAAGGATAATTAGCATTGCTTCCCCGGAATCATCATTCAAATTTCCACAAGTAGCCATGCTTCTCAGGATCTGCACTTCAATCATTATCTCACTTTCAGAGCATGTGCCAATTTACACCCCAGGCACTATATATATGATACAACCGCCCTTCTTTCTTTGGTTATTTTTTTCCCTTTCTTCTATCTCTCTGCTTTTATGATTACTCCAGAATTTACTGAACTAGACCCTGTGAGGACTGGTAGGAATAAAATGACAAATAAGCCACGGTTGTGGGTCCCCAAATAGCAGAATGGGAAGGGAGAAAGTCTGGAGGCTCACTTTCGTGTCCTCCTCTGTCCTTAGACTGGGTCTTAAACAGGGACCGGTTTTCTGAATGTTGGGTGGACTGATGGATGAAGGAGAGGTCTGTAATTGGAGGACTCAGTAAAATGGTGGAAACCACCCCTCCCTCGCACACTGCTCTTTCTGTTTTAGCAATGGGAGAGGCTGTGAACAAGAAAATCAAATTGGCATTCTGAAGCTCTTTGTTTAAAGGCATATATTTAGTAATTTGCTATGTCTAAATTAATACATGGGTTAAGTTTCCTGTGAATGACACCCTCCTAACTCCAGCAACATCATAAAGTCAATCAGTTTCTGTGTGTCTGGCAAGTTAATGACTACAAGCCCAGGGGATGAGAGAATGGGAAAACGTTAACATAGAAAAACAAAACAAAACAAAACAAAAAACCCCAAACTTGAATCAAATTCAGAGGAAATTGGAACAGGACTCACCTCTCCCTCTCCCAAAAGCTCCATAAAAACTCTTGTTTAGAACAAAAAAGTTATTGAGAGTATCATTTTAAACATTGTGCTCATCAGAACAATCCTATGCAGACCAACAATAATGCCAGTAGGGAAATTAGCTGGAGATAAAGAGGATAAGAAGAGATGAAAGTAGAGGAGGAAGGAAGAAGGAAGAGAGAAGAGGTGGAGAAGGCTCCAGGCTGAGACGAGAGGGTAACAGAAGTTGGATATGAGCATGCGATCAGGTCTTGGGGCAAGAAAGAGAGAACCTTCCAAGGACTTGACCAGCAGAGATGGGTGGAGACGACACCCCTCTACTAGCCTTCTCAGCTCCAGATGGTCGAACAAGGCTAACAACATATCTACTCTGCAGTAGGTACTGTGTTGGGGGCTCATCTATGTGACATTTCATTTAATTACCCAGATCACAGCACCTCTGTAAGGAAGAAAATTATATGCATTGCACTGGTGATAAAACAGTTCTGAGGTGGTCAGTTGTGGAGTTGGGTCTCTGGACAAGTGCCCACCTATGGGTAGCACATTGCTATCAACAAAAGACTCCTTTATCTTTCTTAAGCCTCCTGCTAACTTTGGGAAATGAAGAACATTATTTCTACTTTGCATGGCAAGAAATGTAGGCTTTGAGGGCTTGGAGGGAGCCACTCATGGTTGGACAGCCAGCAAGAGGCTGGGACTCACGGTAGTGTCCTTCTATCTTATTGTACAGCCTCCTTGAGGAAACAGGGATGGGATGGAAGCTTTTGGCTGGGTGTGTGCTGAACTAGGTTCTGCAGGGAGCTGGGGATGATCTCCCCCACAGCCAATCTGCCTGTGATTTTCCATGAAATGAACACTGTGAGTCTTTAATATGTTGGGGTTGTCTGGTTTGTGGCCCACCCCCTCACCTGCCAATGCAGCAATCTTGTCTATAGCAATTCCCAAACGTCCCAAATGACCCTAGTAGACAATGACTTATTCTAGTTAATGGGGGTGGGGGTGCCATTATCATGAAATCACAGGTTTCACTGTGGATAGTTTTAGCTGCAAGAAGATTCTTGTTCTGAACTCAAATCTCTTCCTTATAACTTCTATCTTTTGGTCCTGCTTTTTCTAGAATAACAGTCTGAATTTCAGACATCTAAATATAGCTATTTTGTCTCCTCTTCTTTCTATTTTCTCCTGGCTATCTGTCCTTTGTTCCTTCAACCACTGGTTAGAAGACATACTTCTAATATGCCCTTTCTATTCCTGATGCTCTGTGTGTGAATCTGCTTCCCTCCTCAAAGGTACTTTTGTAATACTCCTAAAAAATATACATGCCAACAAAATCATTACTGCTTTTCTCTTTTCTACTGAAAAGATTAGGATAAAGTTAAGCTTCTTTAGCAGCCACTTTGTGAACTCAGTAGAGAAGTAGATGGGATGAACCCCATGATGAATGCCAGGAAGGAGATAGGTATTGTGCTGTGGGATGACCAAGGAGGGGTTGCAAATTTTGTCAGAAAGGAGCAAAAAGAAGCTTCTTAATAGAGACGAGACTTGAACAACAACTCAGTGTAAAAGTGAGCCAGGCAGAAAGAGTGGAAGATTCTTCCATGTAGACAGGATTTTGCAAAGGTGAGCTGGTGTGAGAGAACATGGCAGCACTGCTTTTTCTTGTTTCTCCTCTTCTTCAATTCCTTTCTTCTTTTTCCACACTTTATTTTCTGGTGTTCTTTTCTGTCATGGCCTGGGATACACCATGATTTCCTATTTTAAGAAATACTTAAGCAGTGCAGTGATACACACCTGTAATCCCAGCTATTTGGGAGGCTGAGGCAGGTTGCAAGTTTGAGACCAGACTCAGCAACTCAGTGAAACCTGTCTCAAAATAAAATGATGGCCATGGATGTAGCTCAACGGCAGAGTGCTTACCTAGCCTGTGTGAAGCTCTGGATTTGATCCCCAGTACTAGTGTGGAGTTGTAAGTTCATCATGGAACATCTGTCTACTCTAAGCACTAAGTGAACACTAAATAGACAAAGCATTGACAATGCTAGTGTAATAAATAGTTTTGGAGCCAGCTCGGCATTTCATAGATTGCTGCTCTACTTCAGTAACTGTTCAATTGTGGTAGTAAAGCAATGATACCCCAAATATCAAATGGCAGCCAAGAAGCATTCAGAGCTATAAGCTGGACTAACCTTGGTATTCTGGTGGAACTGGAGAGGGGTCTTCACTCTTCGATCAGCTGACCTGATTTTTCTGTCCAAGGTTCTAGCCAGCAGGGATTGAAGTAAGGCATTTCAGGATTTCCAAACTGTCTCTAAGGCTATCATTCATAAATTCTTCTCAAGGAAGTTTTCTCAGGCTGGAGGGCAGACAGGCTTGGAGCCTCATCTGTGCAGGTAAAAATCTGAAAGATGCCCTGTGTGAGAACTCACACACCTGTTTATTTCCATCCACCTGTCTCTTCTCTGCCTTTAGCCTCTCAGTCATTCAATCCCACCACTGTAAAGGGCACAATAACTCAAAGCTTCCCCTAAACTTCTGACAGGTGGATGAAGAAAAACACCTTTCACAAATCCATCTTATCAAAGGATGGAAGAGAGAACAGAGCTTTCAGTAAAGAACCCTAAACATCCCACCAGAAAGTCCCAAACAACCCTGAAAAGTGAGAATAAAACTACCAAAAGCTGACAGAGGGTAATAAGCATTACTTCCAACCCACACTTGTCCTTCTAAAAAAAGCCAACTAGCTACTGAAAAAACCCCTGAAATGTATGAAATCTAACATCGTTAACATATTTCCTGTCCTCACATAGCTTATAAAAATGTTTCTGAGCTTTTCCCTGGCTCAGTTACAACCATGAGAAGGAGCAAAAAGGAAATGCAACAGATGGTACCGAGGGGGGAGGTGCTACCATCCTCTCTTGCAGTAATTTGTCTTCACAGTAATTTATCTTGCCTGGGCAAGATTTCAAAAGTTTTTCAGATGTACCGATGGCTTATTCCTGCTCAAGAACAATGCAGAGGAGGCTCCTTTAAAAGCTGCAGGTTATAAGGCATGTTTACTACTATTTTTGTTGTTTCTAAAAGAGATCACCTCAGCTTGCCTCCAATCCTCCCCATACTGACTCCATGAGAATCTAATCTGGTACTGATACAGGGCTGACAGGTGGTACATGCATAATTAAAGATGACCTAACACAGAATGCTCTCATTCCTGGCATATTATCAGACACTTAAGCAAAGCAATTATCAGTAGGCAATCTTTTCTGTCAACAGAGATAGAGATGAAACATTTCTTCAATTAAGAGGATTCTGCAAGGATGCTGTATATATCCATCTGCAAACACTTGGAAATCTTCGGAGTTTAATACTACGTCAGCTCAATGGGGCACCCCTGACCATTTAGTTCGTCCTCCATCCCCAACTTCCTCTTTTCCTGAAAGGTCACATTTCAAACATGGAAACCAGGACAATTTTGAGGTTTTTCAGAGCCCCTGACATAAACTGACAAGGAAATCTCTACATTTTTTTTTCCATAGCCCTGCTGAGGTTTGCAAATACACCAAGACTCCCTTAACGGCTCAGAGCAGAAAAGAATAGGGTTCACATTAAAGCAAATTCAATTAAAAAATTCCCTTCCAAACAGGATTATTCCCTCCCCATGCTCCACTAGTGTCAAAAGGATTTAGAGAATTATTATCAAGCCCTAAAACTTCATCTTGAATCTAAGTGACTTAAAGGATTTTTTCTCAATTCGGAAGAAATAAGTATTGTTCAAAGAAAGAAGGGTCTTCACAAAACAGATGGGGTTCCCATTCCAGGTGAAGGAGGGAGAGGCTCTGCACTTCCTAATAGAGGGCTGTGATTTTTATAAATTGTAGTGCATGTGCTTTATATAGATGAATGTATTTTAGCGTTCCTTAGAAGAGAAATTGCTTTAATGTTATAGTGAGACAAGTGATTTTCTTTTCTGTTTTTCAAGGGTGGTTTAGAAGTTAATGGTTTTTTGAAGCCCATATAAAAATTGCCTTCTTCAAGACAGAGAACTTCACAACGTTTGTGGTAGAGATTTGGCCACATTTCACAAGAGGTCTTATTGTTTAAATTCTTATATCCTTATGTCATGAGTGAACAAAGGACCTTATTGTTCATCTGAACATGTCTTTATAGAATCTCTGGTGGTAGAGCTGTGTTGTTGTTTGCATTTTTTTCCTCATCAAGTCAGAACAAAAGTCTCTTTTTCTGCAACACTGGGAACTTGGGAACATGGCAGTGTGTGGCAGCCGCTGTCAGTTGGAAACACCATAATGATAATAAAAGTGAAGTGCTAACGTTAATGGGTTGACTTCTGACAAGCAAATCTAGGTCTATAGAAGTGTCTTCTACACAGCAGACTTTGTGGTAAAGCAAAATAGAAGCACTTAATAGGACAATTAAGAGTCACCCAGTAAACTATCACGGTAAAAGGACTAGCGGCCTTTCAAGATGTGCTTTACTGGGAAAATACTCCATTCAGAATATTAAGAAGAAAATACCAGTCGTCTTTGGAGAAAACATAATCAGGTAGAGGGGAGGTGGTGATAGCGGGATCGTTAATGGGAGCTTCAACAGGACTCAAAGCTCAAGTTCATTATATTTCTCAGAACTAAGAATAGCTTCTGAATGAGTACTCACAATTCTCTACAGACCTATTTCTCCTAAGGAGCTCCCCCATTCTCCCATTCCAATTTTAATGTAAGAAAGAGAAGAGAGTACAGCCAGACGTGGATAGGGAGGCAGGAACAAAGGAAGCTCTTTGGAAAGGAAAGACTCTGAACCAAATTCATTTTAGATGCTGTCAAATCTCACCAAGATTCAATTCAGAAAAATGCAAAGATACAATTTGATAAACATGCCACATAAAAAGGCCAGTGGGGGGAAAGGGCATGTGTAAGGTTGTGGTAAACAATAAGACACGTGTGATTTCCCAATCAATGTCATGAATGAAAAGAACATGCACGCCACCATTAAAGTGAACATGATAAAAAAAAAAGGGGGAAATTCAGTGACTCTGTTTAGGGAGAGACTATTATTTCTCATAAGGAAGTTCCTGGATTTTATAAAGTTTTAGTGAATAAAACAAAGTCTGGCAGACAGCCTTTTTATGCTGAAGATGGCACAGCCTTTCTATGCTGAAGATGGCGCGTGGCACAGACGGCTTTTGTACAAGTAGATGTTATTTCAGAATTATCAACTAAAACATTTTTTTAAGGTGAGGGTAACTGAACAAAATAGAAATATCCACCATCTTATTGTTAACCAAGTTTTCTCCTGTCTGCCCTCAGATCTGGTTTTCCAAGAATGTTGATTTTACTAAGTTTTATGATTGGATGAAAAAAATAAGAGTGTAACTATGGCTACAAAACAAACTAAATTATGATACCTGATATGAATAGTGTATTATTTTGGCAAAAATAAAAGTCAAATACAAGATATTATTATAACCACCACTATCTATATGTTCTACCATTTCAGAAACACTGCCAAAAGCCTGCCACTTGGAAGCCTTGTAGAGACATGTTGTAGAATCCCAAACATTCTGTTTTTTTTCAGGTTTAGTTCACTAAAGACAATATATGATACCTACTTAAGTCAGGGCTGGGGGTGTAGCTCAGTGGTAGAGGACTTGCCTCCCATGTGCAAGGCCCTGGATTTAATCCCCAGCAATACACACACACACACACAGACACACACATACATCATACACACACATGAGAAACTCAGAATTGATATTCATAACCTATATATTCAGGAGGGGACCTTTACTTTCCAGCTAAGAAGTGATCCTGACTAATTCTAGAGCACCTGGTACTGGCTTTCTTAAGACCTGGCATTTGGACAAAAGTGAACTTCTATGACTTGGAAGGTAGCAATATAATTGATGTGCTTATTTTCTTTTCCTAATTGCTTCCCAGAAATGGTGAGACAGATCAACCCAAAAAGGGTAACCCCCCACTTCACTGCAGGGGGACAAAAGAAAAAAGAAGTGAAAAAAAAAACCAGTTTCCCCCCACAAGTCACACTCTAAGAATCAACTGTTCTTAACTTTGAGTTTTCATAAAATGAAATGTTATGCGCCAGTACAGACTCTTTGCCTTGGGGATGGAAGGTCTGAGAGGTGATTGGTAATAGAAGAGACTAGGACACACATGCTCTTATTAAGGCAGGGCTAGAAAAGAAACAAGTGTTACCGAGAATTCAATCCTCACAATGCATGTTGGATCCTTATAAAAATAAAATAAGAGCAAACTTATATTGAACACCCACTATTACCCAGCTGTGAATAATAAGAAAGAGAATCCAACAGAGACCACTTTACAGAAATCTACTCGCATTCATTCCCTTATGGTCAAGTGTAACCGTACTCCAAGCAGACATGATGTTCTTTCACATGTACATGTCTGTCGCTTCTATAAACTAATTAACAAAGGGGAATACAAACTTCTCCAGGGATAACAGAAACCAGTGACTTCCATCCCTGCAGCCAGTTGCACTGCAGTCTCTTCTGCTCAGTGCTGACAGCCTTCTTTCCCCTCCTCTTATTCCAACACAATGCCTTCAGGTCTAAGTAATGTAATTTACTAGAGTGGAATTCCCCTAGGTACCCTGTGCAGTACTTGGTGACAGTATCATTTATACTCCACAGTGTCATGGCCTGACACTGATACATAGGCCTTCATCCCTCATTCACAGCAGAGTGTGCAATTTCACCTTCTGCTGTGCCCTTCTGTGGTGTGCGTGTACAAATTTACTCCATTCAGTCCTAATTACAAACCTTGGTTGAAATGCTCTCATTAGATTTATATTTCTCATTCCAAATGTCAATCTTATTGAAAATTTCAGTTTTCCTGAGGATTCATCCATTAGCAATAAACTCTAAAGCATTCCATGACTGAGTGCATTAAACCAGCAATGTGGACATGCACTTAAAATACATCATTAGAGTAAATCTCCATTGCAAATGCTTTACATTATTCAACCAAAGGAATAATGAGACAGCCCCGCCAGTGCACTCAAATTGCACATGAAGGAGAGGTTAAAACTGGCTGCTATGCAGGAAGAAGTGCCTGGTGTATCGACGGGGATGCATTTCAGAATCTCTGTCTTTCCTTAGGAAGGTGTGGGAGGGAGTCAAAGCCAGTCTAATTTATCACTTTCGCTGATCTATGAGTTTTACAGAAACTTCAGACTGTGGCAAAGTGTAATGAGGATGGCAAAGATAGTGGTGTGCATGTGTGCAAAGATAGTGTGTGTGTGTGTGTGGGGAAACCAAAGCTGTATCTGCAATGCCAGGAACTTTGAAAGTCACTGGAATAATTTCCTCAGCCTGGAAAACATTCTTCCACTTTACTCAAGAGGGAAAAACGGACAAGGCAGCACTGTCTGGATACACTGGAGGAAGCAGAATATTGTTTTTAATAAAAGACAAATCTTCCTGGTAGAGCTAACCTGAGAAACGGCTCTGCTGCAGATTGACGACTCCTAACATTAAAAACCCAGAAAATCTGATGATAGTGCTAATATATAAATTACAATCAGGAGTGGTATCTGAGACAGGGCTGGTATGACAGACCACGGAAAGGAAAATTTGAAGTTAAAAAAAAAAAAACTAGTGAGAATTTATTAAGTGATAAAAGTAAGCCATCCCTATTTCCTGCACCATGTTTTAATTCCTTAGGTTATTGGTCTCATTTATCACTTCTTGTCAGGTCCCAGGTAAGGCAAAGTCAAGGTGCTGTCACAGTCTTTTTTTTTTTTTTTTAATTTGATAAATGAAGAAATAGCATCCCAGTAAGGTCATGGGGAAAGCTGAATTTGAACTCTTAGCATCTAATTCTACAGGTTCTAAAAGTTAACCAAAAAAGTTACATGATGCCTACAGTTATGACTTTACATTATGAAATGCAAAATAGATTTAATTTTAATAAAAAACTGGTGGGCATAAAAGGACTCCTTGAAGGGCAGGTATGTATTACATGAAATAGAAAATAATTTGCAAAAAATAATGAAAATAGAAGTTAACAGCAATTGATTTCCTTGCATCAGTATTTGGTCATCTGTAGGACTAATCAGTAACCAGAATTATAATAGATTCAGTATTTTCTGTAGGGAACTACACCACCACAGAAGCTAATTGTTCCTGAAGTTTTGCTCATTCCCACCTGAAATATTTAAAACCTTGCTTGATTACAACATTAGCACACTCTTTCATAATGCACGCCAGCAGGTACAACAATTAACATGCACAGATGTTAGAACTGAAATATCCATGTTTAAATAAAAAACATAGTGAGAGGGTAAAAATAACTGATTATGCTCAACACAGTGCTAATCTTAAAAGGAAAGAGAGGCTTACATTGTGCTCATTTGATTGTAGAATAAAAACAACATCCCAGATAGTATTAGTAACCAATGAAGTACCAAATCACTCTATAAATGCCTAGATCCTTCTGATTGAGAAACATGAACAAGAGGCTGATCCTTTGTGCATTTAATTCCAAAATCCGTACTCCAAGCATAGAGGGGAATTCCCAAATCCCTGAAATTCTCCAATGATGCAGCAGCACAAATAAGAATAATACCAACATCGGTTTACGGAGCATTGGCTTTGTGCTACAAGGTACATAATCTCGCTGAATTCTTACAACTACCCTATAAGGTAGGTACTATTCCTATTTCCTTTTTCAACAAGACACCCAGGCCTGGATGAGGTTAAGTAAATAGATCAAGGTCAACAGGTAGCTAAGTTAAGATTTGCTCTGGGGTCTTTTTTTTTCTCCCAAAGCTCTTATCTTACTTTAAGCACTGCACCATGCTGTCTGCCATGGTTGGAGGAATGTAATTTACAGTCTTCATTTCTCAGAGGCTTCTGGAATGACTGCCCTCTTGACTCATCTATTTCACAGATTACATCAAACTGAAAGGCTCAGAACACTTGCAGACATTGTCATTCTTTGGAAATGCCACAGCCACTCAGTCAGTGGAACGGGACAGCACCATCTCTGGGATCACGAAGGCACAAATTTCCCTGTGATTGCTGACGCCATCTCTCTTTGGGGTTTCATGTAGCCGCAAACTGACATGTTATCACTTACTGTGGTTGCAGTAGACTCAGAAGCCAGATGAAGGGGAGTTTTCACATGGTTAACTGATCCTCCAACATCTGTGTCCATGGAGGGTACTACAGGGCAGGTGTGTGCTCATCCTTATCCCCTGCTCCCTACCACCCCATCCATATACACGCACACTATTGCCAATCTCTAGGATGACACCACTAACAGACCCTTTCCTTTCTGTTCTGTGGGTTTACAAGAAACAACAACTTTCTAATAATGAGCCAAGAAGATGGATGTCGTAAGACAGCATTTCAGAGAAGGCAATTGCTTTTTAAAAAGATTCAAGGATTCGGCCACTTCTTTCATCCTTCCATTGACACAATTTGTAAATGTTTGGGTTGTGCCTTTCTTCCTTCAGAAGGGGAAAATGCTGATAAACTATCACATGCCGATAAACAGCGCAAAAAACCTGGCTGCCTTTTGCTATTTAAACAAAGACACATTTATTTCCCAATATACCACTTACCAGACAAATGCAAAGATGTGGGCAAACCAGTCATCAGAATTAACAGAGTGATTTTGCTTGCATTACATATTCTGATTTGTATGAATCTTATTTTTAGCCATGCACAAAGGGCAATAAATGGAAAATGTTATTCTAACCGCTACTTTTTCTGGGCCACCCACACTGCTCCACCTACCGCACAACTTCACAAATGTAAAAAACCCAACCCAGGGTTTGTCCTAACAAAGGATGCAAAGTGTCTAAAATGCATGACATTTTTTCCAGTTAGTGTTTGTACTTTCATTCTTTTTCTGTATCAGGACTTTCAGGGAAAACATGGTTGACTTATCTCTGGGCACATTCAAAGACTCTAACTTGGTATGTAATTCAGTAGAGATGAGCCTGCCATGAACTGCACGCCAGTCAACCTTCAGCAAAGAAATATATCCCAAAGTTTTCCTATCTATTTGGGAAGGTGAATACCTCCCTTGTTTTGAAACAGTGAGGATTTTTAAGAGTTCTTCCAATTAACCAAAGCGCTGTCAGACACATAAACAATTCTAAAACACAGCCCGATGTCAAGAAAGATTCTGCCAAACTTTAGTCGATAGCACTTGCGTTCTATCTGCTTCTAGTCTTCAATGGATCATGCTTACTAAGCCACAGTAACCCCTGCCATCCCTTCCCTTCTGCGAGCATCTTACTCTGTCTGCCATAACCACACTTTACAACCCATGGCCTGAAGCTCACACAAAGCATTAACCCACACATGGATATCACTGCAGAACCAGGCACCTGATGTTTATAGACAACCACAGCAAATAAGGGAAAAAAAAAACAAAACTGATAAAAGGATGTCTGCCAAGGGCACAGACAGGATAGAGAGAACAGTTTATTTTTGATCACTATCTCTTTAGACTTCTAATGAAAAGTTAAGTTATTAAGATCTTAAGGTACCAGAGAAACCTGTTCCTCTGAACCCCCTGCAAAACCACATCAGCAAACGCATGCAGGTAGAGATGAATATTTTTAAAAAGTCTAGTTCAAAAAAATAATTAAAGGAGTCAACTCTGAGAAAGGCATCTTTACCTGTGTGCTTGCTCATTATCCAGAGACTAGAGGAAAGGTCCTGCCATCCCTTGGTAGTCAACACACGCCCTACAGAGCAGAGAGCTTCTTTCCACAGTGCACAGTATTTGAGCAGCGCTGATGCGATGTTTCAGAAAAAATCTTTTTTGGGTTTTAGTCCACTATTGTCAGAACTTATGACTTGTGTTGTAAAAACACAGGCAATTAAGTATTATGAAAAAGTGGGTCATACACCACTGAGAAACAACCACACCGCCCCCAAATCAGACACCAAATGACTGTGCTGTGACAAGGTGGGAGGGGTCTGAACACAGCGAAAGCAAAACTTTTATGTGGTGAGGAGCATTTTAGTTTTCACTGGTTTAGGTTAGAGAAAGTTAATCTCAATGTCAACTACAAAGCCAACTAACTTTTAGCATGTTCTTGAAATTATATGATTGTTAATGTAATGGGAAATTTCAATACAATGTCATAAATAGTCTGAGGGGCAGTCTCTGGCTTCAATGGCATGCCCATCACTGAACTGCCAGCACTGTGACTCAGTGAAGCAAGGCGCTCAAAAGGAAACCGAAGACAAAGAGCCCAATTCTCATCATCCACATGGGTGTCTCCTTCTCCAGGGGAGCATCAAAGTGCTGTATACCACTTCCCATACCAGTACCCAATCAGGCATCAAGCACTACTGTAGATATTTATCAAAGCACTCTTCAAGGGCTGTGGGAAGAAGGTAAAATGGAGTTACCTGAACTGTACACATTCAGTCATCTGAATGAGCCACAGAAATATTAACTCAAGTCTGTCTACACTGAGTCCCTGCTAAATGCCAGGACACCAAAGATCTGAAGGAATACAGAAAGAAATTTCTGCTTTCAAGGAACTTACTATCTAACATAGGGGATGATGAGACCTAGAGGAACCAGAGACAAACACAGGCCATTTTTTTAAACAAATAAATCTCTTCTAGCAGTTGCTTACTGAATACTTTCTGGTCACAGACAAACATAAGGTTTGTGGATCACACTTCTCAGATGAATCCTTTAAAAATCCAGTTTTATGAAAGGCCTTCCTAATCTTGGCTAAGGGTTAGGACTCTTTTCAACCCTAAGTCCCAGCACTCTCTAAAGGAAAGTAAAGGGATCCCAGCAGGACCCTCAGAGCCTGACATCTCACCAGAGCCATCTGAAGAGAAGCTTTTAGAAGAGACATAAGGATGCAAAGTTGAAAGAAAACACTCCGGGTGGGGGGGGGTGGGGTGGGTGGGTGGGTGGGGGTGGGGGCTGGGGTCGTGGCTCAGCGGTAGAGTGCTTGCCTAGCACATGCAAGGCCTTGGGTTCGATCCTCAGCACCACATAAAAATAAATAAATAAAGATATTGTGTCCAACTAAAAAATAAATATTAAAAAAAAGAAAGAAAGAAAACACTCTGGTTCACAGTTCAAGGTATTTGAATGAAATTCTGTTACCATCAATTATAAAATTAGAATTTTTATTGGAATTGATATTATTTGGATTGCGGATGATAGGAAATGGGATCTGTCTAAATCAGTCTTTCTTGTTTATGCCAAATTGGCTTACAGTAAATTGATTACTAATTTTTAAATAACTGGAACACAATCAGTTGGCCTAATACCTGTATATAAGTGAATCTTCCTTTTATGATTACAGAAATCCACAAAGATCTTGCAGTGCCATTCAGTATCTTTGATTAGCAACATGTTGAAATGAAAATACGGGCTGATAGAAACTTCCACCAGATAAAGATTTTGGTGAGTCCACATAGTTATCTGTTCTTATGAGAGTTGATAAATATAATTAAAAGGGGAAAAAATAAGTAACAAGGAGATTGTCCTGTAAAGTGACATGTAACATCATCATTCCTAAGTGCCACCAACTTGTTGGATGCAATCAGTGCAGAGTACTGTTTATAAATTTCTAATTAGTTAGTTGAAAAAGTGTGAAGAATACATAAAATATCAGTTAATAGGTCATATGAAAATTATTTTTGGATAGCCAGGATAATAATATGTAAATTATTTTTCTTCTTTTCTGTTATTTTACAAATTGTGTAGAATAAATATATGTGGTTAAATGCCACCTAATGATGTTTTGGTCAATGATAGTCATGGAGATCCCATAAGGTTATATTAAATAGTGTATTACAGCTGTTTGTGTAAGTACATTCTATAATGTTCACAGAATGACAAACTTGGCTAACAACACACTTCTCAAGACATTTCTCTGCCATTAAGTGACCCAAGGATCTACTACTTTTATAATAAGGAAAATAAAGCTACTTCTGTTTTGATAAAAGGAGCCAACTCTTCTCTGATTCTGGCTCTTTTTTGGGGGTTGGGGGGAGGTACTGGGAACTCAGGGGTACTCAACCACTAAGCTACATTCCCAGCCCTATTTTTGCATTTTATTTAGAGACAGGGTCTCACTGAGTTGCTTAGCACCTTGCTAAGTTGCTGAGGATGGCTTTGAACTCACAATCCTTCTGTCTCCACCTCCTGAGGCAAGCACTCTACCAACCGTGAGCTATATCCCCAGCCCTGTCTCCACCTCCTGAGCTGCTGGGATTACAGGTGTTTGCCACTATGCCTGGCGATTCTGTTTTTTTCTGGAAATTAAGAATACTTAACACATAGGACCCAGTATAAAAATTCAGCCTAGTGACAAATACAGCATGGAATACGGGAAAAATCAGCCAGAGACAAAAGATTCTAGTTTCTAACTAAGCACTACTACAACTCCAAAAGTTCTGCTATTTTGCAAAGCTTTGCAAATTCTGTTCTGGGGTGGAAGAGCTGAAATGTGTTTCCTCATCATGAAATTGGTTCTCCATACTTTCTAGCTACAACAGAGCTATAGGAGCTAGTGCCTCTCAAAGACCCGTCTAATGGGTATCCTTGAAGGATATGCTATGATCCCCTGGGTTAAATAAGGGTTCAGAGAGAGATATCATTTCATTAGTGACAGATGCTTACAAAACAGAGCACACAAATCATTTCTTAAAAAGTCAACAGGTTGAAAACTATTAGAACAAACTGATAAAATCATGTATGTACAACTGGTATCACTTCGTAGGCAGCTTTATAATACAATAGAGCTCAGTTTCTTTAAAGACTTATAATAAATATCATCTGAAAATTTCAATTTATATATGAACATATCTTATCATGCTGGTAGTATCTCTGTACATTTATGATGTATGCAAAGAGTGAAAACTATATTTTTAAAATATAGTTTTAAAAACTGAGGATCGAACCCAGTGCCTCATGTGTGCTAGGTGAGCACTCTACCACTGAGCCACAACCCCAACCCTGAAAAATAAATTTGATGATGCTGTTTGAAGAACACAGTTGTGAAACTGAATTTGTTACAAACAGCGATATCATAGGTTCTTCAGAACAAAACAAAACAGAATTGACTTTAAAATTTTGCCAACAGTTCCTCAATGACTATAGAAGCTAAACATATAGGTTCATAAAATTATTTTATGTTACTCTTAAAACTAATGATATCACAACGTCTAGATATTTCCTACACAAGAACAGCACTGGAAAGTGGTAAAAGGCAAAAAGTGCATAGTTTCTCAAGAAGAATAAAAAGTAATGTTACATTTTTCTTGGTCAACATTTTTAGACTATTATTGAGGCACAACAGTAGGTATAATAAAATTTCAGTTAAGTAGACTATTTGAGGACAAGAAGATGATTTTTGTTTTGATTTTCTGGTTAATCCGTAACTAGAAAATGCTTATTGTTAAAGAGCTTTCCAAAGCAGTTTCTTTTCCTAATTTTGAAACATTTGAACATTCTCAATGATTCAGCATGTCACTGTGATCAGCGACAAATATCCTCCAGGGTATGTTTCCCCCTTCACTGAAAACCAAAGCGATCTTGTTTTCTGAGTTTTGTCTCTGAAAAAGGGAAGTGGGGTGTGTGTGGTAGGGTGGGGTGTGTGGGAAGGGCTGGGTGGGTGTGGGTGAATATGAAGGTTAGTTAATTCAGGTTCTGGTTAGTCAGATTCCAGGTAGCTAAGCCATCAGTAAACATGAATTTGGCATCTGAAACTAGGCTCATCTGATTCCTCGGAAACACGAGGGTCCACAGGAAGGGTCCCCAAGGGTCTGTCGTTGCTGGCTTTCTTTATCTTGTATCATTTGTCTGAGTGTGTATCAGTGTGTTCATCCTCAAATTATGGTCTTTGAACTCATGGGACTACATTTATTTTGATTGGATTCTATATCCATGTCATTTCAACTCAAGCATAGGATGTTGGTAGATCCGTGTGGACGTTAGAGATGAATAAGCCCTTATTTTTGTCTCCCTTAGACTTGCTGATCTGAGTTTTCTTTTCTACAAAAACCTTTAATTCCATTTTCTTTTTGATATCATAGCAAGTGAGTCAGAAACTTCCATTGCTCTGTCCTAGTCTCTACTACCTAATTAAAGCAGCAGATTTGGAAAGTATGGCATGAGAATGAGGGGACTGACTATATATACATACATACATAAATACATTATATATATATGTCTTTTAACTTCGATGACATCATTTCACCTCTGTTTTGATTATACAAATTCCTTAAGCCAAACATACACATGTATGAGTGTATACCTACCACACACAATCTTGATACTTTAAGGAGAAGGTGGGATAATTTAGGATAACAATTTCTCAGTTTTTTGACACCATGGATCCTTATGTACTATGCCTCATGAATCCTACTCCTGGTCAGCCCCAAGGACATAGCCTGACAGTAGTGAAGGAGATCTGAAGAAAATATGGCTACTAGGCCTGATGAGAACCTATTGGATGTTTTTCAAGGTCAGCTTTCTAGAAACATTGAATTTAAAGCAAAATCCAAGAAAAGTAGGGTACAATGGACTATTCTGGTGGGTTTCAGCCTTCATGTTGGCCCCAGGGGTGCAGGCCACCCACTGACCT